CTGTGGAGGAAGTTTGCCCTGTTCAATCTGCATATATGGTGAACCACTAATGGAACTGGGGAAAATAGCTGGTGTGGTGGTGCATGCCTGTGGTCCCAGCTACTCTAAAGACTGAGGCTTGAGGAACCCTCGAGTCCAGGGGGTTGAGTCCAGCCTGAACAACATAGCAGGATCCCATCAATAAATAAAACTAAAAACACTGGGATTTTTAGAGACAGGGTCTCACTATATCACGAGGCTGAAGTGCAGTAGTACAGTGACACTATCATAGCTCACTGCAACCTCGAGAACTCTTGGGCTCAAGTGATCTTCCTGCCTTGGTCTCCCAAGTAGCTAGGACTACAGGCACATGCCACTATGCCTAATTTTTTTTTTTTTTTTTTTTTTTTAGAGACAAGGTCTCACTATGTTGCACAGGCTGGCCTCAAACTTCTGGCCTGAAGCACTCTTCCTGCCTTGTCCTCCCAAAATACTAGAATTGCAGGCATGAGTCACCATGCCAGAATTTAAAAAAAAAAAAAAAAAATTAACTATTTGTGGAAAGTAAATAGGCACCATGTTGAGTTCAGCTTTTAGAAAGATGATTTTGGTAATAGTACAAAAGATAGAGGGGATGAGACAAAAAATCAGAGGCTACAAAACTAGGTAAGTCAATACAGATGGCAGGCAAAGCACTGTGGCACCAGAATCCAGGATTTACCTTACAGTTCAGACACTTAGTAGGTGAGTGACCTTGGACAATTCATGTAACCGCTCTGAGCCTTGGCTTCTTCATTTCCAAAACAGGGATGACAACATCACTTACCTCACAGCATTATTGGGGTGATAAAAAAAGCCAATACACAGAAATACTCAATAAATAGAAGCTATCTGTAAACGGTCATAGCGACTGAACTTGAATCTGCCCTTAACAACTTCAAGTTCGATCAGCCTTTGATTAAATATCTCTGGGAATAAGACATTTGTGCCATCCTGATATATTTGGCTCTGTGTCCCCACTCAAATCTCATCTCGAATGGTAATCTCCACATGTCGAGGGAGGTTTCTGGTGGGAGGTGACTGGATCATGGGGGTGGTTTCCCCCATACTGTTCTCATGATAGTGAGTTCTCACAAGATCTGATAGTTTTATAAGGGGTTCTTCCCCCATCTCTCTCTTTCCTGCCGCCTTTTGAAGAAGGTGCCTGCTTCCCCTTCACCTTCTGCCGTGATTGTAAGTTTCCTGAGGCCTCCCAAGCCATGCAGAACTGTGAGTCAATTAGACCCCTTTTAAAAGTAATTACCCGGTCTTGGATAATTAATTTCTTTATAGCAGTGTGAAAACTGACTAATACACATCCCCATGGTAACATAGTGATGGCAGTGAGAGAATGGGGGATTATTTTTCCTTCTTCCAAAAAGAATATATCTAAGAATGCAGCTAAAAAACAAAAGGTAGAAAAAAAAAAGGTGAAACAAAAAGCAAAACAAAACAAGCTCCAGAATACCAAGTAACTATAGTTGGAGAAGGTAAGTGAACCTTGAGATAAAACAGACTTGTGTTTGCATCCTCTCTCTAGCATACATTACTAGAATGATCTTAAGCAAACTACTTAAGCTCTCTAAACCCTAATCTTCTCATCTGTAACACATGGTTGTTAACACCTATATCATAAGACTATGTGAAGGATAACTGCGATCATGTATAGTATGCCTTCAGAACAATGCCTGGCCCAGAGTAGGCAATAACTGATAATTATTATGTATTGTCACAGTTAGGCAGCAGTGCAAGTGGAGATAGAAAACCACACTAAAACACATACAGTATACATGAGGTTGTCAGTTCTGGAGACCACATCCATGAATGGTGGCACAGAATTGAACATCCCTTTTCTACGTGTTCAGCCCAGTGAATCTGTCTTCTTAAAGGTGTACTACCAGGTAAGATGATGAAAAATGACAGGGATCTAAAAATGCAGATTTGTGGACTGGGGGAAGAGAGGCATAAAAGATGAAAAAGCAACAGCCTCTGACTGACTATATTATTTTCCCACCACTTCCTGTCCCGGAACTCAAACCCCATCACTGACTGCCATGCCAAAAGCTAATAAGGCACCATGAAAAGAAAGACTGGGGCTGGAGGGAGGGGGCAGGTTCATAATATTTCAGAGCTCCATGAGGGAGGAGTGGATGCCAGGGCCAGACATCTATCCATGCATTCAAGCACACGGGGAACTGCTAGATCTGAAACCACCTGCCTGCATGCTTCTGTCCTGCGTTTCTAGACATCAGAATATACAGCAAGCCCACTCTTTTTGTAGGTGCTCTGCCTTGGTGTGGCACAATCATTCTTCCAAATATCCAGCCCACTGCTCAGGACACTGCCATGGCCCTGGGGTAAATTTAAGATCCTTTGCTTTTTTCTAGAAATTTAATTGTTCTCAATAACTTGGTGTGCAAACTTAAATACTTTACTAAGAAGAAACAAGGCAAGAGGGTAACAAAATGATCATTAAGACAATTTGTGTTTCCAGTGTGCATGCTCTGTCCCTAGCCTATGAAGATGGTGCAGCAGGGCACACACTGGAGCTGTTTTTCAACTACAGTGACTTTTTTGGCCCTGTTTTCTCTATAACCTGTCACTCGCTCCCTCTTGTCAGACAACTGCAAACACACAAGAGGTCCAAGATTCAGTTCTCAGGGAGAATATCCTCTGTGCAAACCAAAGTGGCCCGAGTGGGAAGAAACTACATTATTGTCCACATTCTAACCAAAATGAAACCAAAGGCCATTCATTAGAAAAACATCCATCTCTTCTCCTGATCTCTCTGAAATTAAAGGTAACCAAAGTTAGAATTGAAGCATTTGGTGAAAATAAAAAGCTGCCTAAATTTTTCTCAAGTGTCCTAGCACTTTCACTTTTGGAAACGAATATTTAGAAAGGTTTAAGAATATCTTTCTTACACATTTCTCTCTCCCTCTTCCCAAACGACTGCTTCGTCATTTATGAGCAAGAATGTGTTGAGGGGGCTATTGCCTGAGAAGCAAGCATCCTCAAAGCACATTCCTAAATCAGTTCATCTGTGGGCACTGCTTTTCCCCAAAGGTAGGAAAGGGAAGGTTACTTAGTTTGTCCAGCAACACTGATTAAGAATGATACCTAGGTGGGACGTGTTAGGTCGAGTCAGCCAACACTGAATCAATCCTTTGTAGAAAGACAGAGTGGGCAGATGCTACAAGCAGCTCCTACCTCTAGATGGGTGGAAAATAACACAGAGCAAGACATGAGGCATGACCAAGGACTGGGGGAATTCCCTTTCCTGGGAACTCTTCAAACACAAAACAGCCACTCTTTTTTTAATTGTCTAAATATGTCTATGGCTAGTTTTTATAGGCTGCCTCCTCTCTGGAATGACTGGGAGCCAATCCTTCTGAAAAATCAAGGTGGGGCATCTATTGGCTGGAGGATAAAAGAGGCAGGAATATACAACCAAATACATAACAAAAAGGCAGTATACACAACCAAAATCACTTGGCACATTCGGTAATTTAAACACAAGTGAAGAGAAAGCCAAAGAGAAAAGCAACTTAAGGGAGCATCTCAGGTCTCCAGAGTGATCCCCAAATGCTACATACGACTTCACAGAGCAGCAAATGGGCAGTGATGTTGCATGCCAAAGGTGACAGCTAATTTTCACTGCCGGTCTGGAAAACTGAACTTTTCCAGGCTCTTCATTATTTCGTAGGTTTCAGGCTATCAACTGCCCAGGCCTTTCAGCCTGACTTCTTCCACCCCACTCTTGTTTCCCCAGTTCCTCCTTATCACCTACTATTGGGATCTCCTGCTTAAAGGCCATTTGGTCACACAGCAGAGGTTATGGGTTGGGTAATTTGAGCTTCAAAATCTAAGGTATGTGACCATAAAATCTCAGAAGGTAAGAACAGTTACAGGTGCCAAAGTTGAGAAGAGACTCACTAGCAGCCAGAGAACATATGAAGAGTCTGGAACCAGAAGAGGTGCCTTGCTGAAGGACAAACTCCTGCGTTCACCAGAGAAGAGACCAAGTTGTCTTTCTCTGGCCAGTCAAGAAACTGCAGACAGGGAAGCCTAGGGCAGCTCCTGGAGTGGCTGGCCTGGAAAGTCATCAGGCTACGGTAACTGTGACTGAGAGAGGAGCGCAGTGCAACGCAGACTGCAGCACTGGTTAACCTGGCCAACTCCTGGGCACTCTCAGCCAGGACGGCGTGTCAGGCAGTCTCTAGAGCGAGGGCAGGGTAGAGAGACAAAGGACACTCTCTGTTCTCACTGTAGAGATAAGGAGGGCGGGGAAAGGTTGTACAGTATGAAACTCTCCCTACTGAGTGATCAATATAGGAAAGCCAGCCAGCCAGCCGCCTCCTAAATGACTCCGTGCGGAGATGCCTCACAGCAGCGGCATTGCCACCGCAGGCAGGTGTGAGCAATTAGATGAACCCGCCTTAGGAGTTGCCGTTTGTTCACCTGATTTGGCAAATCTCTTCTTAACCCTCCTCATCCCCAGTGTATCTCACTCACCCACAGAAAAAGACACGAGTTAACTTTAGTGGAGTTTGCCCTGTGCTGGAGATTGGGGGAGGGGAGCAGTTGGAGGAGGTAAGAAGGTGGAAACCTTTTGACTGGAAGATTTTTCTGTTTTTCAGACTAAAAGAAAAAAACAAAGTAGGCAGCAAAGAGGACTGCAGGATAATGCTCATTTTTAGACACCCCTGGCATTTTAGGTAAAGAGCAACTGGCAGAACTCAGCCAGATTGACAGAAAACGTGTTCACCTGTCAACTGGGGTGGGGGGAAAAAAACAAAAAAGATTCACTGAGGTCCAGGCGCGAGAAACCCGGCTCCAGAGCTCCAGCTCTCCTCCTTGCTCTCCTCGCCCGCCCCGCCCCGCCCCACCCGATGGCCAGGTAGGTGAGTCTGCACACGTGTCAACTTGCGGAGACCCCCAGGCCGGCCAGGGGTCTCTGAGGGGACACACCCTCCACCTACCTCAAACATGGGAGAGGCGCCCTTGCGTGGCAACGTGCAGCCCAGGAGCTCGGTGAGAAACTTTGCCATATACAAGCGGTGAGGCAGGGTCCCTCCCGATGCTCCGTTTCTGTCCTTTCCCCGCGCCAGAGCCCGAGCGCCGGGATCCTGCCCGCAGCTCGCCCGCCAGCCGGGGCCGTGGCTCGGGGGCTGCCCCGCGGCGGCGGCGGCGGCGGAGGGGCCGGGCCGGGCGGGGAGAGCGCGGCGGCCGCCCGCCCCCGGCGTCCAGCGGTGCGAGTGAGCGCAGCCCCCTCCGCGGCCCGAGCGTCCGTTCTGCGGGAGCCGGGGCGCCGTCGCCGTGCTAGCCTTTCCCGCTGAATGTCACTATTACCATAGTAAAGGGAAGGGCCCCGCCGAGGGGGTGGCAGGAGGGCCAACCGCGCCGCAGGATGGGTGCCGCGTGTGGGCAAGGGCAGCCGGCGGGCGCAGCGCCTTGGCGCAGGGACCGGCCCGCCCCGCCCCTGGGCAGGGCCACTCGGGCAGCACCGCCGGGCGGGAGCAGACTCCTTAAGCTCCGCGGGAGAGCGGGCGGCTGGGGCGGGGGAGGGTCTGTGGATAGGAGCCGCCGGGCTGACCCACTTCCCCAGTTTTCCCCTCGGCAGTACTCACGGAGGTGGAAAGGCAGCCGCCTCGCTCTGCTGACTGACCAGGGAGAGTCGCTGCTGCCAGACGCCAGCGGCCCGCAGGGGCTCCTGCACCGGCCGGCGCCGCCCCACCCTTCCTTTGGGAAAGGGAAAAGGCTCCCTAAGCCTCGGAGGAGGAACTCACCCTCCTGTTCTCACATTATCCCAAGCCAGTGAATGGGGCAGACCCAGGTAAGCCCCAAAAGGGGAAAGGTGACTGTAGGCACTAGGGCCTGGGCCGGATACGCTCCATGATCACAGCTCCCTCCCTGTCCTTGGCTCCGGCCGGGAGAGCCAAGGACCGGCATGGAGACTGGAACAGGTATGGCCCTGATGGCCCTGTTTTTCTTCTTTTTTTTTGAGATGGAGTCTCGTACTGTTGCCCGGGCTGGAGTGCAGTGGCGCGATCTCGGCTCACTGCAACCTCCGCTTCCCGGATTCAAGCGATTCTCCTGCCTCAGCCTCCTGAGTAGGTGGGATTACAGGCGCCTGCCACCACACCCAGCTAATGTCTTTTCATTAAAAAAGACTTTTAGAACCAGGCCTATACTGTGTATTTATTCTGCACCCCCATAGCTGTATATCTCAAGCTTTAACAGAGCTTGTTTAAAGTGAGAGGTCCTGGGCCCCCAACCCATGTTTCCGAATTAGTGATTCTGATTCTGACCCTGGACCATCTCAGAAGATTCCGATGTAGGTGGTATCCAGGCTCTACTTTGAGAAACATGGCCCTACTATGTAAAAACTGCGGACATAAACTTTCAAGGACTGGGAAAACACTAGATTTGGTGACAGGCATGACCCTAGAGAAAGTTGTGTCAAATCACCTGATCTGATATGCAAGGAAACAGAATTGGAAAAGTTTTCATTACTTCAAGTCATCCTGTATCAGTGACACCCAAGACAGGGAGTAGACACCCTATAAATGCTCGTTGGATGGGATGAATAGTGGATAGTGATGAATAGCTGAGTCCCAATTTCCTTAATTGCCATTCCAGAATTCTAGCTGGTACAACAAATTCACTGTGAATTTAAGGGATAAAAGAGGAAGGAAAGATGTTAAACTAAATTAATTTGAATACATCATCTCAGTGCTTCTCAAACTTTTTCTGCTATCTGGTTTTATCTTCTGCATTCTAACCTACAAAATATTCAGGTTTGTTATAAAACAAAAAGACCTGCTCCCATGACTGAAACTAATGTTATTTTTATTCCGTGTTTTCCAGAACCCTACCACACCACCAGCTAACCCCCAGCAGCAAAATCAAGAAATGTGGCAGCGAGGTACCCCTGGGCTATACTAAAAAGGGAAGAGAACTAATATGTAATCAGTACTATGAATGTCTCAGTCACCATGTCACTAGGGTGAACATGGGCTCTGGGGACAGGCTACCTCCATTTAAATCCCGTTTCTGATACTGCTATGAATTGAACATTTTCATCCCATCCAAAGTTCATCTTGAAATGTAATCCCCAAAGCAACAGTATTGGAGGTGTGGCCTTCGGGAAGTGATTGATTTATGGGGCTCCGCCCTCATGAATGAGATTGGGTGCCCTTATAAAATGGCTTGATGAAGGGAGTTCACCCCTGTTGTCCTGTCTTCTGCCATGTAAGGACGCAGCAGTATTTTTCCCCTCCAGAGGATATAGCATTCAAGGCACCATCATGGAAGCAGACAGCAGCCCTCATTAGATGCCAGCTTTGATCTTGGACTTCCCAGCCTCTAGAAATGTAAGAAATAAATGTCTGTTTTTATGAATTACTCAGTCTGTGGTATTCTGTTATAGCAGCACAAAATTGCCTAAGACATAATAAATGTGAAACTTCGAAAAGTGACTTTGCATCTCTGTACTTCAGTTTTCTCATCTGCAAAATGGGTTTAATAATAAAGGTACCTACCACATATGGTATATATTAGTTTTCTATTGCTATCATAACAAATTACCACAATTTAGCAGCTTAGAACAATGCCCATTTATTATCTCATAGTTCTGTAGATTAGAAGTCTGGTGGGTTCATGTGGGTTCTGTGCCTAGATTCTCACAAGGCTAAAACCAAGGGTAAAACCAACCAGGCTGGCCTCTCTCCTAGGGTTTCTGGGAAGAAGCCACTTCCAAACTCTTTCAGGTTGTTGGGAGAATCTAGCTCCTTGCAGCTGTAAGTCTGAGGTCCTTGTTTTCTTGCTGACTGTCAGCCAGAAGCCACTCTCTGCTTCTAGAGGCTTCCTGGACTCCTTACATGGCCTCCTTCATCTTCAAGGAGAAACCGCATTGAGTGCTTCTCATGCTTCAAATCTCTCTGACTTCCTCTTTTGCCAACAGTCAGAGAAAACATCTACCATTTAAAGGCCTCGTGATTACATTGGGCCCACCTGGATAATATTTTTATTCTAAGGTCAGCTGATTAGTCACCTTAGTTACATCTTCAAAGTTGTTTTTGCCATGTACTATATAATCACAGAAATAATTCCAGGATGAAGATCATAAGAGCTACGTAGACTTCTGCTTACCACATGATTATTTTGAGGAATAAGTAAAAGTGTGTATTTAAAACATTTAGAACAGTGTTTTATTTTGTGATACAGATAATAAGAACTCAATAAAGATTAGCTATTTTATTTGTCTACACATGGCATTTCATTTGATTGACACTACAGCTCTATTATTTTAAAGGGGAGAAACTGAGAATCAATCTAAGACCACACAGAGGGTTAATGGCAGAGCCAGGAATCAAACCTAGAACAGCCATCAATCAAGTCTGTGCTGAGCACTAGGAGATAAGACAAAGGACAGATGATGTTCATTTGAGAAGGAGGGACTTGAGAAGGGGGGTGCAATAATGAGGAGCACGGGGAATATTTACAGGTAGTCACTTGCCGTATATGAATAATCTATGGTTTAGGCACAAGGGAGACTGTACTAAATACTAATTAAATTTTTTAAGTCTTTAGACTGACTTTGAGCACACTGCCTAGGAGTTAGCCCTGCTCTGCAAGGAGCAGCTATTATATATATGTGTGTGTGTGTGTGTATATGTGTGTGTGTGTGTATATATATGTATATAATGTAATATATATATTTAACTGAACCTGATTTTTACTGAGCAGATGCATTTTCTTGTGGCGACATTCATCTTAAGAGGCTATACATGACTTGCAATCTAGACTCATTCCTTTGATGGCTTCTTTCTCCCCGTGCCCCCTCCTCTGTGATGTCTTGCATCTTGTAGAGGAAATAAACATGTCTGAAAGGCAGCAACCCACTGGCCCTGACTAAACAGCAAGAGCATTGCCCAGACTTTCTCCAGCGCATGCCCAGGCCTGAATCACTACCATGTCTATTTCTTCCTGTCATTGGTAGAGCAAGGACAGAAACCCAGGACAAAAAAGAAAAGAAAGGAAAGCCAACCAAAAAATAATCTTATCATCTGTGGTCTTTCCCCATTTAGGACTGTGACTGCAGTATTATTTACTAGAAGCTTTGTTCATATTCTTTCACCCAGTATTTCCATTTCTAGAATTTATCCTAAGAAAATAATCAGAGAATTACTCAAAGATTTTTGCATTTAAAATTGTTTCATGTCTGTAAGGGCAAGTGAGTGTCTTTACTACTGACACAGTAACCACCATGGTTAAAAGACTGGGACTGAACTCAAGCTGCCTGGGCTTGAATTCTGGCTCTGCCAATTGCCAGCTGAGTGATCTTGGGCAAGTCACTTCAGTTCTAAGCTTCAATTTCCTCATCTGGAAAACAAGGATAATAATACCTCATAAGAACTTAACTAGGTAATACTATTATACTTATTTATTAGAATGATTATATTCATATAATTATTATACAAATACTAATAAAGGACCTGGTCCATTCTACATAATAGTAATATGTTAACTCTTACTAGGGTGATGATTAATGATATATCCTTAGCTCATGGCCCAAAGCCTGGAACACGTTACTCAATAAAAACTGATTAAATAAATACATGGACAAACAGATGGCCAAACAAATGAATAGAGATACTTGTTACAGCATTACAAAGCTAAACTTTGTAAACCATAAAAACAACAGGAGAGTGACTTAATATACTAAGGTACATATAATCAAAACCTAGTATGTTTTAAAAGAATAATTCATGACCTAGAAAATGCCTGTAGGTAATGTTGGTAGGTTGCAGCATACAGTATATGTAGCATATTCTAAATTTGTAAAATACTTACATGTATATGTATACATTAGGGTCAAAATGGAAGGAAATATACCAAAAGGCAATAATATTTCTCTGTGAGTGATGAAATTATGGATTCTTTTTATTTTCTTCTTTATATATTCCTTAATTTTCTAGATTCTCTGCAGTGAACTTGAGTGTAATACCAATTTAAAAATTTTTTTACAATCCCATAATTAAGAACTTAGACTTTTTTTAGTCATCACGTTCATCTTAATTGATTTAAGATCTTATCACTTTCATAAAACATTTAGGATGGACCAATTAACACAACTAAATCTACTGCACTGACACTCTCTTGAAGAAAACACTGGTGTTTGTGAAAAGGTTCCATGAAACATCATCCAAAATTTGATTTTAAAGACACTCACCATTGCTGCTAAGAGCCAATAGTTATCAACAATAGCCTTAATAACTAGAAATGGGAAAGTCTTAAGAGGTGAGTGAAATCTATGTTTAAAACATACTTATTTTCTCCTCTCATTTAGTTTACAAGAGAA